CTCCCCCCGTTACCAGAGGGTTGCCCTTATTTGCTTCGGGCGCAAAAAAAAACTACCATACGGAGCGTTGGCCGCTCCCCCGGGCATAACACCTTGCCCGGCGGGAGATTTCCCCTTTTCCTTCCACCGCCAAAATTTCATAACTTTGATTAAACTTTATTATTCCCCAAATACTGTTTTATTTATTGAAGTAAGTAAGTAACTTTCTCATAGAGCAGCATTTCGTTTTAGTTTTGTATTCATAGCAACCTATTGCTATTTGTGGAAGAGAAACACCTCCTCCTCTCCTCCACGTTTATTATGGATACAATAAAAATGATCGTAAACAAAAGAAATGTCTACATTAAATTTTTTTAACTTTAAATATAATAAAATTAAGCGTCGAATCATTTTTACAACGCAGCCAGATCGAGTGCGCATGGTCGTGGAGGTTGTGCGGATAGCGCACCGCCTGGACTATCAAGAGTTTATGATGCTGATGTGTCAAGAGAGGTGGCGTTTTGATCTGCCACGCTCCCAACGTCCATGTCCTCAAACGTCCACGACGCTTTACCACGGCAATTGTTATATGATTTGGCTGACATTAACTGATTCGCATGACACTTCCAAATGATATCGGATTTCTGTATAGCAACATCATATAGAAGTTTACCTAAACGTGCAACGACCTGGCCAAGGATTCATGTTGGTCTTTTGGATTGGCTCGATAGTCTCTTACCCAAACTTTCTCCCCAATTGAAAATGCTTTAATTTTACCACCAAAACATAATTTTTGGCGATTTTGATTCACTAACACATTGATATGTAAGGTTTTCGATCTGAATTTGCGCACTTAACAGCGATTTAATCGAGTTTACAACGTAAATTCCGACGGAGCATGAGCGATGCAGGTGATACTCTTGTCGTACAATGCGGTGGATTCTGATAATGAAATAAATTGATATCTAAGTGGTTAGCGAAATCTTTAAAACCACAGTCCTTGATAGCATTAACAATAAACCGCTTATTTATAGGAAAATGGTGACAAGCGAGCACACAGTTGCCTGATGGTAAGTGGTTGCTGTGACCCATAAACATCTACATCCATCCTCGTTTGCGAATCAAAATTCAGATTCGTTGCCAGCCTTCAGGACTAGGATGGAATGCCTCTTTTCCAGTAAAAAGAGTCTCCGGTTCTCTACACTCACCATACGAAACACAGCAGCATTAAGCTGCTATTTGGCGCTTGTATTCTGTGAGAGCGTGGTCCTTGTCCGGTCGAGCCAACCCATTCGTGCTACAACTATTATTATTTTTTTTTTTATAGAAGAGGGGGCAAACGAGCATGTGGCTCACCTGATGTTAAGTGACTACCGCCGCCCATGATCAACCGCAACACCAGGGGAATTGCAGGTGCGTTGCCGGCCCTTTAGAAAGGAGTAAGCTCTTTTCTTGAAGGTCCCCAGGTCGTATCGGTCCGGAAAAATCACCGGTGGTAAATTATTCCACAAAGAGGTTGTACGCGGAAGAAAACTCCTTTTGAAACGTACAGTGGTGGACCGCCAAGCATCCAGATTGTGTGGATGGTATCGGGACGTTTGCCGTGTAGTGCGTTCACGAAATTTGGCGGCTGGGATTAATCCGAACAATTCCTCAGAGCACTCCCCCGTGATAGATGCGATAAAACACGCAAAGAGATGCAACATCTCTTCGCAGCGCCAGTGAATCGAGCCGATCGGAAAGCACTCGGTCGTCGATGATTCGAGCCGCTCTGCGCTGGATGCGGTCAAGTGGAAGGAGCTGGTACTGGGGAGCCCCAGCCCAGAGATGGGAACAGTATTCCATGAGCGGCCGAACCTGCGCCTTGTAAAGTTGTAGGCGGTGTGCCGGCATGAAATACTGTCCCGCTCTGCTGAGCACGCCAAGCTTTTTAGAGGCCAATTCGGCCTTCCCTTCCAAGTGACCACGAAACTGCACGTCACTCGATATGTCGACGCCGAGGATTCCGATACTGGCTGAGGCAACAAGGGGAGTGCCTTAAAACTGAGGGGATACGACAAAGGGGTTCTTTTTAGCGGTTAACGCGCAAACTTGTGTCTTCTGGGGGTTAAACTGGACTAGATTTAGTCGCCCCCCAATCCGAGACTCTGTCCAGCAGAGACTCGACTTCAGACACAAGTTTGTCCCGGCACTCAGAGACGTTTTCCCGAGAAATATTGGCTCGGCCGGTGTAAAGAGCATCACCAGTGCTGTCATCTGCATAGCAATGAATGCTACGAGTTTGCAACATATCATTGATATGCAGAAGAAACAGCGTTGGCGATAGCACGCAGCCCTGTGGAACACCAGCATTAATAAGCTTGCAATCGGAGCTTGCACCGTCTACAACGACCTTGATGCTCCGATCTGCAAGAAAACTGGTGATCCAATCGCACAATTTCTCGGGAAGCCCATAGGAAGGGAGCTTCGAAAGAAGCGCTTTGTGCCAAACCCGATAGAAGGCCTTCGCAATGTCCAAACTAACGGCTAATGCCTCCCCCCTTGGACTCTACTGCCTCCGCCCATCTGTGAGTTAGGTAGACCAGAAGATCACCAGCTGACCTACCACGGCGAAAACCGTATTGGCGGTCACTAATCAGCTGGTGATCCTCAAGGTACCTCATGAGCTGGCAGTTTACAATGGACTCCATTGTTTTGGAGAACAAGGAGGTGATGGCGATAGGCCGGTAGTTGGACGGGTCTGAGCGGTCGCCTTTTTTAGCGATCGGGTGGACGAAAGCCATCTTCCATGATTTTGGGACTACGCCTAGGGAGTAGGAGTACCGGAAAAGACGCGTTAAAACCGGTGCCAACTCTGGAGCACAGGTCCTCAGCACAATTGGGGGGATTCCATCAGGCCCACTCGACTTATGGATGTCCAGGGAGAGGAGTGCTTTGCGAACCGAGCGCTGAGTGAACTGCACTTCCGGCATGGAGCACTCACACCGCGGGATGGTCGGCGGCGTACTCCCCCCGTCATCGAGAGTCGAGTTAGACGCAAAGAAAGAGCCTAGAAGATCGGCTTTCTCCTTTGCGGTGTGGGCCAGTGAGTCGTCCTCCCTGTGCAGAGATGGAAGAGATGGCTGACAGAAATTCCCCTGGACAGCCTTGGCGAGAGACCAGAATGCACGGGTTCCAGAAGGAAGACGAACTAGTCTCTCGCCAATTCTGCCTATGTGCTCTGACTTTGCCTTGGCAATGACTCTTTTGAAGGACCTAGAGGCGGAATTATACTTCTTTTTTAGAGCGCTGGTGTTTACATCCCTGGACGCTGATGCGTCAGCCCAGGCTCGGTAGCACTCCTGCTTATAGCATGACGCTATTTTACAGGAGCGACCAAACCGTGGCTGAGATTTGCCTCCAATGGGCACCACAGAGGAAGGAATAAAAAGTTCCATACCCTGAAGTACCACATCAGCGACAGAATCCGCAACAACGTTGGGATCGTCCGGCGAGAAGCAAAACCCGCCCCCAAGGGTAGGATGCAAAGAAAGACCGCATCCCATCCCAATCGGCTGACCTATAGTGCCAAACACGGCGGCGGCCTGCAGAATGCAACCGCGATTTCAGCGTGAGTGGCACCACACTCCGGACAAGACAATGGTCCGAGGAGCCTAAAGGGGCGTCGACGGAAATCTGATATCCGTCCGGGTGAGAGGTCAGCAGAAGGTCCAACAGGGAAGGTGCATGATCCTCCACATCTGGAATCCGCGTAGGCGAAGTAACCAGTTGTGTCAGACCATATGCCAAGGCAAAATCATGAACAGATCTCCCTGCATGATCGGTTAAACGTGAACCAAGCCATTCGGCGTGATGGGCGTTAAAGTCGCCGAGGATCACGATCTCTGCGGAGGGGATCTGCTGTAGCAACGAATCTGCAGCCATTTGGACGTGGTCGAAGAGTCGGTCTGTTTCGGCATTACCGCTATGGGACCTATAGAGGCACCCGTAGACGCGCAGATGGATGTCGCTGTCTACGCGTAGCCAAAGGATGGACAGGTCCGAACCTTCAAGTCAGCCGAAGCGTCGAGAACAGATGTCCTCTCTGACGTAAACGCAAACTCCAGCCCGAGGCACAAAGGAGTGTTCCAGTTTGTACCCCGGGCAGGAGAGATACGAGACATCAGCCGGAGAGGACACCTGCGTCTCGGTCAGAAAGAGCAGAGCCGGCCTCGCCGTCTCGAGATGGTAGTGGACGGCGTTTAGGTTAGAGTGAAGTCCCCTGATATTGCAGAAATTCACGGACAGCGTGGCAGGGGTCGCCTTGGTCTTGTTGCTCCGTTTGCCCCGAGCAGTTTTAGTCTTGAGCGGAATATTGCCCCCCCCCCCCCCAGAATACGCGGGGCAGCCTGAGCACCCACGCTCAGAAGTGGAGGAACATGGTCGTGGATGCTCAGCGAGAGATTCTCCAGGGGTGCTGGTACCCTCCTGGGGTAGTCTATCATTATTTAATTCCGCTACCATGTTGATGGGGGGGGGATTTGGCCTCCGGCCACCTGCACTCACCAGACGAAACGCGGAAGCAGAGCTTCCACTTCACGCCGGTATTCTGTGAGGTCGTGGTACCACCCCGGTTTGAGCCGGCCCATACGTGCGACAGCAAAGCTGCCGCGTGGCTCTACCACTGTTAAAATTATAATATATTAAATATAACTATTAATATAGCTGCAGCATGGCTCTACAGCGTGAAACGTGCTTACAAGTCTTTACTCCGTTCTCGTCGAGTCCATTACTCTGTGGCAAGTACGCAGGAGATAAAATGCGAGTTATGCCATTATCAGTGCAGTACTTAAAAAATGCAGACGAAATAAAGGTTTTCGCACTATCTGCGACTATTTTATTGGGAACGACAAAACGCGACTTTTTTTAATTTGTTTATGAGCTCTTTGATAACAAATTTGTCATTCATTCGCATTCGATCCATTTACTATGCGCGTCGACCAGTACAAGTAAAATCTTCTCATGAATTGGGCCGAAATAATCTAAATGATTATCTCGGCTGATCCATCCATCCATCGGCCCGGATTCTTTCGAAAACTTTTCTTTTCTTTCGAAAAAAGTCGGGCCACCACCACGGCTCCAAGCGCGCTTTCATAGGAGATGCTCGCAAAGATATGCCCACAGTTAGAAGCCATGTCCTCTATGTCACTGTCGATACCCGAGTACCAGCAGCGTTCTCCAGAAATCATTTTCTTTTTAACTACTCCTAAATGCGCAGCATGCAGTTCTTGTAGCACAGCAGCCCTATAAACAATAGGCACTACAATTTTGGGACCTCTCATGAGAACTCCGCTATCAACATATAATTCATGTTGGCATCTATTATATAAGCAAAAGTGCTCATGACACTTTCCGTGGCCACGATTTGACAACATATTGCATGACAAGTGACAGAACTTTATCTTTATGAAAGGTTGCCTGCAGCTCGTCTAATAAAGCGGGTAACGGGGTGACGCGTAATTAGAATAAGAAACCGGTTTGAATATGCCAGCGCGCAATAATCGTACCAACTCTGCGCTTACTTTATCTTTAAGCGCAAAAAGCACAGGCCTAGCGTTAAAAAAATTTGGTGTGACACCTTCTTTTAAGTGTAGCGTTAACTTATAGTTATTGAACGTACCCAATCTAATGCGAACGAAAATAATGTTTCATATTTCGATAAAATAAATTCTTCTTTATCTACTGAACAATAATTTAATGAAATAAAAGCGAAATAAAATTTTGTCATAAAGTCCCTACCGAGCAAGAGAACAGCCATAGATGAGCCATTGTCAACAACATAAAATTTTATATTATGCGTTACATTATATGTGACTATTAAACAACACACGCTCAATAGCCTTAAAACAGAACCACAGTTTGTATACAAAGTTTTATTGGACTCACCGAGCCATAAATCTCGCGAGAAATACATATTCCATATATGCGCCTTCAGCGCTGAAACCCCCCTATCGGAATCAACCTCCATACTAAGAGTAACACCTATTAATGTAACTTCAAGAGATATCGGTTTTTCCTCCTTACATAAAATGTATTAATACATGATTCATTATTTATACCTCTAATATTATTTATTGGTGAAAAATCATTACGTTCGTCACTATTACTACATTCCAAAATGTAATTACTCTGCATACCATTTAGTTCTTTTTTTTTACAGTTTTCTTGTTTGGTCGTAATCTCGTTATGTATGTAATATCTCTTAAAACACATTCTTTTTTAAATGTCCTTTTGCACCACACATACTATACCTGAGGGTTCCGCCGTCGCCGACACCACGGGGTCGACCACCTCGTGTACCACCGCTTGCAGTAATTTTTCGCCACGAGTCCGTATATAGCACACGTTCAGATTTAATTAACTCTGCCGAATCGCCAACGGAAACAATGCGCTGCGAACTTTCGACTACACAAGTTACTTCAAGTGCCTTGTTTAGTTTTAACTGATTAGGATCTTCTCTAAATAATTTCTCCCGAGCAGACGCAGAGTCAAGCCCAAGTACAAAACGATCCGTCAAACACATGTCTAGAGCTGATCCTAAACAATATGCTGATGCTAGTTCACAAATACGATCAGCATACCTGCCATCGACTCATGAGGATCCTTTTTAGCCGAATTGAACTTTTACTTTCAGCTTATATACATTTTTTTTGGATCAAAATGGTCGTCAAGCGTTTAAGCAATCACCTTTTAATCAGTTGATTCAGGCGTATTTGGATACAATAATTTGGATAAATACGAACGGAGAAGGGATTCGCCATAATCGCCATTGCCACGCTTGGCAGGTAGATGGGCAATACTAGGCGATTTGTACATTTGATGCTGCTATCCGTACATCCTTAATTCTTCATATTAAACATAAAAGATAATACTAAATTTTTCAAAGTAAAAGTATCCAAGTACAGCGACAAAATAAATAACCAGACTTCCATGCCATATAACTTTTCTTTTATAGCGATTTATTAAGACTCTAAGGAATATTTTCATAAAGTATGAAGCAACATTTTATAGGTGTATTGTTAATAATAATTTTATGTTGCTCTTTATATTTATAGCTTTTATTCAACCGTATTACACAACAGAGTTATTAAAAAAAAGAATATTTTTAAGAGTATTAAATTGTCATGACAAGGTTAAAATTACTTTAGTTTTAAAAACCTAGAAGATATTTATAACAGATTTTACTGAAATATATTTTATTACAAAACTACAAAAGCCACTATGAAGGGTTGTGGTAGCTCAGGAGATAAGGACTTGCCTTGAATTTTATACTAATCGAACAAACCGACTTCGGTACCTGTTAAGTTGTTATTTAGCGTGTTCGCCACTAAAAAAAGCATCGTCAGAAGACACAGACATGAAAACAGAAGCATATTGAATTTGCAGAGATTGTATATTTCTCCTTGGGTAGAGGTTTTGTGAATTTGTATATCAAAATAACCAAATTTTCAAAATACGATCTAATGTAATTAAGTATCAAATGTCAAGTAATATATAGATATAAATAAAAGAAAAGGCAGTGGTGAAGGGAATCGTCGTAAGGAAACCTGCGTGTCTGAGGAATTAAAGTATAGAGAGTCATTGTGACTTGCAACAAGATGTTGTGACTAGGATTGGAAATGGTATGCTTCGTTGGTACACGTAGAAAAAATAAATAAGAGTCACAAAGAAAATTATGCTGCAGAAGTGATGGATTTTCGTGTTCTCTGCCTAACCCTCTAGGTGACGGGTGTGAGAATTTATAATATGATATTATTCTGTAAAATTAACCTTCAGCTCCTGAAAGTTTACTGAGCACATGTTCAAATTCCTAAATCCCCAAATTACCTCATAAATAAAGTTATAAACTAACATTGAATCAAAGAGCATATTATTTGAAAAATAGAGAAATAAAGCAGTAAAACATATTACTATAAGCAGGTACACGGGGCTCATGTGGGATTCCTGGTGTAAATTTATATTCAGCAGTGAATTTGAGATATGCTGTAAAAATGATTGATGACACACGACATAACAGGGTTTTAGGGCTAATAAGAGTCCCCCACAAGTCCTCAATGCGAGTAAGCTGAAGATGAAGAAAACTATGTTAAAGGTTTAGTACATATTTGATATTTTTTTTTGCTAGCGGTCGGGTAACCCTATATAATTATCCCTTTAAAACAATGTATCTCGCTGTAGTTGTTTGCGCGGTAATAGATGTCATAATGTATGTTCAGTAAGAATAAAGTAATCATTGAGTGAAGACACGTTTATTTAATTATTTCACCTGCAAGCAAAAGTGCACCTTATTATAAAGTGTACATGGTCCTTCGAGCCGGATCATTCAACAAGCCCTATTTTAATTATGTAAATTTGCGAGTGGATGTAATTGGAGTTATTTTAAAAAATACGGAATACGGACTAATTAGTAAAAATAAATGAACATTATCTATGAAAGTTTTAAAGAAAAAGTGAATAACAGTGGAAGAAAAAATCAGTTACTAGTGAACAAAATTACATTACACGTTTAATTGAAATATAAAAACATTACTTTTGTGTAACGGTAATCTTATACGAAGTAAATTAAACTAATATATAGTGAGTTGGTAAACAATTATTCAAGTATTTATTAACAACCGTGACTGTTTTACGGTGAACTTTGGACCTATTGGTAAGAATAATTACCAACCTACATATACGTTGAAGTTTAAGAAGGCTAAACAAAATAACTGTGAATTATTACTAAAGTAATTTATTTGTATTGTTGTAAATAAAAGATATTTAATATGGAGAGCGTTGAAAATAGAATGTTGCTACAAGTTGATACATTTGAAAAAGTACAAAAAACGTACGCTAATTACAAAAAATCGCCTAAGGACAGGATAACCGTGGGTTATATACAGAGTAGAATAGAAACTTTAGAAATATATTGGAAGGAATTTAAATCCGGTCATGAGAAATTAGTTATGGCTGTTTCGAAAAAGGATAGACACATGTTACCGTATTTCGCAGAGAATATGTTTGATAATTTTGAGGAATTATATTTTACGTACAAGGGCGAAATGAAAACTTCATTAAACAAATTAACGGCCGATGTAAAAACAACAGATACATTGCACAAAATAGATGAGATGAGACCATGTGGTTCTGGGAGTGATATAAAATTACCCAGTATTTCAATTCCAATTTTTGAAGGCAACTACACGGAATGGCAATCATTTCACGATCTCTTTATGGCATTAATACACAAGAACGAGTCATTAGAAGATATTCAGAAATTACATTATCTTAAGAGTAGCCTGAAAGGAGATGCAGAAATTTTGTTACGCCAGTTTTCGGTAACGGATGCAAATTATGCTGAGGTTTGGTCTGTTTTGAAAAAGCGTTATAACACCAAAAGGTACATTGGTAATTGCGTATTTAAAAAGTTTTTTAGCCAGAAAACACTTTCTTAGGAGTCAGCTTCGTCCTTAAAGCAACTGCTAGATACGTCAATTGAATGTATGAATTCATTAAAAAATCTTGGCTTACCAACAGCGCAGTGGGATGCGATCATAAACTATGTCATCGTGTCAAAGCTGGATTCGGAAACGCATAAACAGTGGGAAATTACAGTAAGTTTTATTTTAAAATTAAAATTAAAGTTTTTATTTTAAATTCACGCAGCAACTATCGCGAATCGAGATCGATTCGATAAAACATGCCCATAAACAATCCTGTTTAGGCTCAGGTAGCATGCTCGAAAATCAAACGTCGGTTGATTTTTGAGCATGCTCAAAATAAGCATGCTCATTACTAGCAATGTTGCGATGCATGTACTACTAATGAGCACGTCTGTCCGTATCTTAAAGGGCGTTAAATTTGGAGCTTATCAGATGGTATTGTGAAACAGAGCATTCCAATCCCCATAAGCATCACCTGCAGTATGACGCATGTGGCAGCCATCTATATATTTTAAACATAATAAATGTTTTATCAATATATAACTATATTAATGTATGTACAAATCAGTTACAATTTATTATTCAATCTGCATTCCATTACAGGATACAAAACAGATGTCTGCACGTAACATGGACCGTGACAAAATAAAACACACGCGACTCTGTAAGCTCCACTCTCGCAGGGGACACTCTTCGCTTTGTACATATTCGAAAAACAGTGACATGTTTCCGTTAGTGTGTACTGCAACTGTCATAAATGGCCGAGTGATTGATAACTCTAACAGCGAGCTCACTGTTTATATAAATTCGTTCTCTACATTAATAGACTTTGTTGCAAGTACATTACGATTGCTGAATTACGTATTTAATATAGACATTTATAAGTACGTTTTTAATTTGTCGTATAATATTGTCATATAGATAGAAAACTTGTTTACCACAATGTTTTGGAGACCATAAAATTCTCTTAATTATACAGGGTATTGTATCTGTCTTAATACGAGTATGTTATCCTATTTTTTTAGTTAGCGTTACTCATTTATTGCACAAACATAACCCCTTAAGTATATTTATTTTTATTTTGAAGATAACTTTAATTACCATACATTATCGATACTCACATGCTTATAGTATTATTGAGCTACACCTTGCAGAGTAAATTCAGGTAAGGTTATGTCAAATGTATCGCCGTGTTCGGGTATTGGACGGTTGTTTAATAATAGTTAATTAAAATTTTATATAAAAACAGTTTAATAAATAAGTAAAAAATATAAGATTGAAATATGTTAAAAAATGTTAAATGTTATGTTATGTTAAACCCTAGAAGCCTTATCTACGTCTGCAAGGCGTACACGCATTCTACTATTATCTAGATGTTAGTGCTGTTAGTCTATGCGACTCTTACAGCTTCATCTGTCTCAGGGCTCGCGGCCTGCAAGGCCGCAAGCTAATTAAAGAAGGGAAAGGCGATGAGGTGAGGATGATGATGAGATGGTTTATGATTTGATATTTTTACCAATCATCATGTCGCCTCTTAGGCGTTTTTCTTTGAGCTATCTAACCGCAGTCCGAGGGTGGGAGTGCGGAACCCCGTCTCTGACTGCTCAGCTCGTGGCGGTTGATGGTCTGGGCGGTGAGAACCGTCCAGGAACGCGGGTGTACGGTGTGTACGCGGTGTGAGCTGGAACGCGTCGTGCCCGTCTGCGGATGCGACGCGTCCCATTCGTTGTCCTATTGGTGTTTGTCCCGTTTAGTGTGGGTGTAGTGTCGTTGTGTGATGTGCCTGCGACGTTTGGGTCGACTGGATCGAGCGGTTGAGGTGTTTCTATTAACACATTTCGCGGTCTACGGAGATAGGGCGCGACGTTTGTTATCGGAACGTAGTTAGCTGCGTTTGTCACTAGCGGGTTAGGGTGGGTTTCTACTCTATCAAAGTAGCGTTGGGACATCTCCTTAAAATATTCGGAGATAGATGGTAATTCACAATCATTGTGTAAATCAGAGTTCCGTTGATACCACCGTGCACCGGTGGCTTTTCGGATGAAAACGTTTTGTACTCTTTGGAGTTTTAAAATGTGGGTCTTGTATGTGTGGGCGAAAC